TAAAAATAAATTTAATCTGTTCGGTTAACGAATCTCCATAAAATGACGTGTAAAATTACAATTTTTTAAAATTTCAATAACTTCTTAACGGTTTAGTGAATCGATTTGTAATTTTTACAGGAGTTTTAGAATTGAATGAGGAACGTTCTTCCAAATTTTTATTTGTCTTCTAGCATTTTGACATACCTCTCAAACATCCTTAATGAAATGTTCTAATATGCTTATACAGCATAATTTTGCTGATGTTGTAAGTAATATATTATCTGAAATTCTTACTAATTGTTCGATATATGAAAAATATGGGCTCTCGGGATATTGTATATGGTTATTCTTATAAATTCCTGTATGTTTAGGCGGATCCGGTTCAAATGTGAAAGGTTCTAAATATGGAGATGGATACTGGGGCTTTGGTTTTCTTTTTTTGGGAGTTCGAGGAACTGACGGTTTCGGTGGAGGAGACGGGATTCTAATATGCAATTCTTTTAAAGTTTCCTTTATCGTCAAATGAACTACAGCCGAAAGCAGTAGTTTATCATTTAACGAGTACTCTTCTCCTGTAAATTTGACGAATTAGAAATACATCCCATAAACATGATGTTTAAGAAGGTATGTTATTGGCAGAAGGAAAGAAATTATTGGTATTCAATGTAAAATCGGTTTACTATGAGTTGTGAAATTAATCACTATTATGTTGATACGAAAAGGTTTTGACTTACTATGTGGATTCATTAATTGATAAAGAATAAGTAAGAATTCTATAGGGCACCGGTTGCACTCCTTAAGTGCTTTCTCTACATGTGCTTCATTGGGTCGTAGCACTAATCCCAAATCGCCGATAACATCTTTTACATATGTTAAACTGCGATAAGTTAAATCCTTCAATATCGCATCTTTTAAGCTATCTACGGCTCTCTGCTGATTAGGAGAAATTTCAATAAACCAACTTGGACCAACCATTTTTATTAATTCGTAATGTCCTCTTCGTAGTTCTAAAATTGGAGCCTTCTTTACGACATTTGCAAAAAAAAATAAATTGAATTGGGGTATAAGGTAAACTTTTATTTATAGACGATATTCTGCCAGAGTTTGATGCTTAACATAAAACTTTCTTTGCTGTTAAGATTAGGAAAAAACCAAATTTGGATTTCAATTGATATACTAGACATTTAGTATCTCTTTCCTTTAAAAATAGCTTTGGATTATGATTGGAAAAAATATTTTTCTCGTCAGTTAGAGCGTCAGCAGTCTATATTCTAAATAATGTCTTAAACTAATTTTTCCNTAATTTTAATATGAAAGAGAATTTAAAAAAAGGGAAAGAAATTCAGGAATAAATCTAAAAGAACAAACAAATGAAGGGAACTGTTGATCACTTAATCAAATTGTTAGCGTTAGTTAGAGCGTCAGCAGTCTATATTCTAAATAATGTCTTAAACTAATTTTTCCTAGGGAAGTGAATAAACTTACTATTTCTTTCTTGGGTAACTCTTGTTTTTGTAATTTGCTTTAAGCGTTTTTTATAAAATACTTGCAACTCTAATTGCTTTTTCGTCCATATCTCTTCTATCCATATCCAACATGGTCCTCTGCCATGAAAATATATGTTCTTGTTCTTTTTGGGAGGTGGAGGGGGTGAGGGATTAAGTTCCCCATACTCAGCTCTGGTAATTTGCACGTGAATTTTCGTTTCATTTTTGTCGAATTTGGCATCCGTCTGTGACAAACTGTAATCTAAGTATTTTCCCTCTGGCGGACGATAAAGTTCGAAAGGGTCCGTTTTTATACATGGCGAAGTGGCTATAATGTCGCAAATTTTCTTATCTTCATGATAGTAATCTAACAATTGCGGTTTAGGCAAGAAAGGCAAATAAGCCCGGGGTATTTTAGATTTAGATGACGACATGGCGAAATTTCTCTTTACCCAATACCTATTTCAAAATATTTACATGCCCAATTTTTTCATAATTATTATGATGAGATTTAGCTCAACCACTCACTTCTCAAAATGACATTAAATGGCTAACATGATCCTTATATCTGTTTGTATGCATGTTTATAAATAAAAGCCATTTATTAGGAAATTATAGTATATTGGGTTTAACCCGCGGCTTCGCTCGCGTTGATACCCTAATAAATACGCGTCAAAGATAATCAATAACCATATAAAACTAATTTTCTATCACTCAAGAATAGTATGTTTTTTGATAAAAGATACTGTATGCCCTTTTCTGTATTCTTGACAATGTGTGTACAAAATTTCATGACAATCGATCGAGTAGTTAAGGCGTGAAATAGTAATAAACCAACAAACAAATTCCCGTTCATAATATTAGTTAAAATATATCGAAATAAAAGTAAAATTCAAATTCCAAAAGTGTCTTCGTCAATATTGGAGCAGTATTATGAGCTGATAATATAAATTTAAAATTAAAACTTGAAATATAGTTGGTCAAAAAGGAAACGAAACTTCTACAGTATTTCAAAACAAAAAAAACTGATACAATCTAAAAATTAGACAAAATATTTTGGATTAGCTGTTGATGTAAATTCTATCTATAATCTATCAGCAAAAGACGTAGGAAAAGGTCTAATTGCAAGAAAGAACCGTGTATTATTTATGTGAATGCTGTTTTCCCTACGTACGTACAAGAATATAAATTTATGATGCTTAGTTATGAATTTTTTATTTTTCACTTTACTTATAATTAATGACAAATCACAATAGCTGTNAATAAATAAGTAGGAGATATGGGATGAAAAAATTTAAATAACAAGTGCCTTAAAAGAGTCACTATAGCTAAGTAGGCAATTAACAAATTCCTTCAGAATCTAGAGATGTTCTTCAGGACTTATATAATGCATGCTTACCCAACTCTGCTTTCTTAATTCCTGGATCCAATTTTACCTTTATCTTAGACCAGTGTTTCTTTAAAATCTTGGAGTCTTTCTTTTTTATTAAATTAATATCAGATGGTTTTCTTTGCCTTTCTATTCGTCTTCTTCTTCGAGCCATCTTTCTGAGTCGTTTTTTGTAAAATTTTTGTTTCTCCATTTGTTTTCTACAATATTTTTCTTCAATAAATTCCCAACATGGTCCTTTCCCGTGAAAATAAACTTCTTTTTTCGGCGGGGGTGGAGGTGGAGGTGGTGGAGGAGGGTTCGGATTTAACATTCCGTAACTGACATTTGTGGCTATAACATGAACTTTTGTATCACCTTTAGCCATTTTGGTATCAGTTTCTGTAAGATTATAGTCGAGATATTTTCCTTCCGGTGGGCTCCATTGTTCGAAATAATTCGGTTGTTTACAAAATGCAGTTTTATTTATCATACAAATATCCCCTTCGGAATGAACTAGGTCCATCAGTTGACCCTTTGATTTTTGAGCCTGTGCTTTTGTGAAACAAGGACATTCTTGGTCTTTGGGGGTAGTATAATGGAATTCATATTTTCCCAAATTTGGCATCGTAAATGTGTAATAAGAAAAAATAGCTCGCCTTTTACAAAAAATATATGAAAAATTTTGACACTAAAAAAGTGATTTTATTATTTGTTATGTAAATAACCGAAAATCGTAATTTTGTACGTCTAGATAATAGCCGACTCGTTTTGAAATAATAATTATACAATAATTAATATAATATAGGCAATGGGTTACATTAAGATGTGAGAATTTTATTTCTTTTTACCGTTTTGGCGATTGAAGTTTCTACAGTTATCACAAAAAAATTGTATTGACTCATTTTAATGTTTCTAATGCAATATTCGAAATAATACCTGAAAGTTAATAGGTGTATTATTTATGTGAATGCTGTTTTCCCTACGTACGTACAAGAATATAAATTTATGATGCTTAGTTATGAATTTTTTATTTTTCACTTTACTTATAATTAATGACAAATCACAATAGCTGTTATATGATATTTCTTAATACATTTCCATTTCTTTCCTTTTCTTCTCCTTTTCTTCTATTTTTCTATTACGCATTATTCTTTTTAAACGTTTTTTGTAAAACTTTTGTTGCTCCTCGTACTTTTCAGCCCAGGTTTCGTCAGGGAAGACCCAACAAGGTGGTCGTCCGTGAAAATACGCATTATCTCGCATTTTTTGTAATAAACCGCAAGAAATATTAGGTGTTTCAATGACCTGAATTTCCTGTAGCTGTTTCTGTTTTTTAGTTTTTTCCCACCGTTCCTTTGCTTTCTTAATTCCTGGATCCAATTTTACCTTTATCTTAGACCAGTGTTTCTTTAAAATCTTGGAGTCTTTCTTTTTTATTAAATTAATATCAGATGGTTTTCTTTGCCTTTCTATTCGTCTTCTTCTTCGAGCCATCTTTCTGAGTCGTTTTTTGTAAAATTTTTGTTTCTCCATTTGTTTTCTACAATATTTTTCTTCAATAAATTCCCAACATGGTCCTTTCCCGTGAAAATAAACTTCTTTTTTCGGCGGGGGTGGAGGTGGAGGTGGTGGAGGAGGGTTCGGATTTAACATTCCGTAACTGACATTTGTGGCTATAACATGAACTTTTGTATCACCTTTAGCCATTTTGGTATCAGTTTCTGTAAGATTATAGTCGAGATATTTTCCTTCCGGTGGGCTCCATTGTTCGAAATAATTCGGTTGTTTACAAAATGCAGTTTTATTTATCATACAAATATCCCCTTCGGAATGAACTAGGTCCATCAGTTGACCCTTTGATTTTTGAGCCTGTGCTTTTGTGAAACAAGGACATTCTTGGTCTTTGGGGGTAGTATAATGGAATTCATATTTTCCCAAATTTGGCATCGTAAATGTGTAATAAGAAAAAATAGCTCGCCTTTTACAAAAAATATATGAAAAATTTTGACACTAAAAAAGTGATTTTATTATTTGTTATGTAAATAACCGAAAATCGTAATTTTGTACGTCTAGATAATAGCCGACTCGTTTTGAAATAATAATTATACAATAATTAATATAATATAGGCAATGGGTTACATTAAGATGTGAGAATTTTATTTCTTTTTACCGTTTTGGCGATTGAAGTTTCTACAGTTATCACAAAAAAATTGTATTGACTCATTTTAATGTTTCTAATGCAATATTCGAAATAATACCTGAAAGTTAATAGGTAGTCATGCATTTGTATTAATAAATTAGTGGTCTGCCTTTTATTCCTATTTAATGTTTTTAATGTCTTTTTGTATGTTCAGGGAACGGTTGTGAATATGGGGGCCCCGGGATTAGCCCTAATTGGGGGCTTACTTAATTGATCAAACTAATTACCATTTTGCCAAAAAACTGTTTTCTTTAATGATAGGAAAAAAATTAGGACAATTGTTTGTAGTTCTCTTATATAAATTATACGACATTCAGATTATTTTTTTATTTTCTAAATTCACAATATTATCTACTACCTTCAATGAGGACTGGGAGCCCTTTGTAATATTCAGCTAGTTACCCTCGATACTTACCGTGTTGTACTTCGTTTCATTATTTTCTTTTAAGTAAATATGTTATTAATGCTATGGATGTAAATAGAACTCTTAAATTCTGCATTTATTTTGTGGGAAGTTTTTAACTTAAAAAGATTATATAATACCCCTAAAAGATGGATGTGTACCTACTATATCTGACATTGCGTATGTCCCATTGTTATTAATTATAATTCACTGTATTATTTTCATGTATTTCTATCGCTTTTGTCATCGTAAGCGAAAAGAAAAAAAAAAACACTTTTATTTTTCGAAAAATTTATTTTAAAATTTCGATATACTAGAAAACCTACTTTTTTGATTATTAAATGTTTATTTCGTAACAGTAAGTGAATTAACAAAATCTGTAAAATAGTTTTTGAGCTTATTTCAAAAATAAACTCCGTCTTTGTTCACTATCCATTAATTTATATACACATGTAAATTAAACAAGAAAATTGCTAACCACTGAGAATTTAATATTAT